AGCAAACAAATAATAAATGAAATAACATGGACATTAATTATCTTGAAAATGTTTGGAAAACTTGAATGTCTCCTACTCTTGTCAGTTGTACATCTTATCATGGTGTACTCGGCCCCTACATATCGCCTTGGCTGAATTCATGAAGCGTTTTGATGAACCAGATGTTGGTCAACGAGACATATATCCTGCGCCGGATTACTTGACTAGTCAAGCTGGAATCGGCCAAAATAGGCCGAACTAGATTACAAGAAGATTGGTCAGTCGGCTCGTTATTGGTACAAAAGTTAATTTGACCAAGTAAGGGTCGATATCCTTTACACTGCTTCACCAAAATGTCACGACCCCCTCCCATCATTATCAATCTCGTCTCATTCTTAGCCAGTTCTCCATTCTTAAATGGCGTATTGACTTATTGACATCTGACGCAGGCGATGGGGGTTCGATTTCCGGTTTGATACTTATGTGGATTTCTTAGATGAGTTTTTCTGTCTGGTGTCCAGCAAATTGTAACTCGTCCGTTTATGATACTGTATGACTCATGTCTCACGTCTAAAAAAACCATAACTACCCTATATTGACCCCGTTATACGCAATACAGAAAAGTTAACAGAGTTTTAACGGTGAGGCTAACTCTTAAAACAGACAAACATTACTTATTTTACAACAAACTATCAGCTGAGACTAATTACTCTTGTTGGCACGGCTGGAATCGCGCGAGGAGTCTTACTATAGGTGGAAACTGGAGTACCCAGAGAAAAACCCGCTTGGTGAAGTAGATAACCCCTATATCACGTCCGCTCAAGGAATCGAACCCAGAACATCTAGATGAAAGGCGAATGCACTACCGCTGCGTTTTCCAATCAACATTTCTGTCTTTTCGTAAAACTCAACTTTAAGGAAACAATATATTCTTAGCCATTCATCTTAATTGACAATATTCTGTTTCATGGACTCCGCAACGATCTCATTTCGAAATACAAAATGTTCGATGATCGATGGTATGTCCGACTGTTGCGATGTTATATTACCCGGATCCAAAAAAAAAAAAACAAATCCTATAGTTTTTACTCTATGTTATCTGTTATACCGTGCATATTTAAACACTCAAAAATCAATTTCGAAATAAGTGTGGCGAGTTGGTGAAAAAGATCAAATACAAAGTACAAAAGATGATCACAATGTATTAAAGCCAAAACGGCTACGATTTGTTTAACATTGGTCACAAATGTCGTCCCTGTTAAGTATTGTCTGTCTGTAGCAGCTTGAGAAGGTTATTCTTCCTGTCGACTTTTGGGGAATTTTCCAATATACTACCAAGCTGAAGACAATGTCCCAACAAATCCGACCGGAAGACTGCTTTCTATGCCATCTTTATTTAACCGGCTACTACATTGACTAGACAAGATGGCTAAACTCCAAACATCTGCTACAACACCTTAATAGTGATAAACTTCTCAATACTATGCCAGCTTAACAGCATCATTCAATCCTAATTGCATCCGTCTCTTGTAAATATACATTTATTATAGTATGTACATCATCATGAGATGGGTCTTTAATGATTTTGTCTGTCAGCTCTCAACAGATTTTAATGAAATACTCGCATGAAGATTATCACACAGCCTACATTTCCAATCTCGGTGTGTATTTATACAAAGCACTGTCAGATTTAGCTTCCATTGAAATTTACGATCCTCTTAAATTTTTATCTAAAAGACATTTTGCTAAATATAAAATGTTATATATTTTGTCGAAATGGTTATTACTGTTATTTAAAAAGTCTTCTTTCTATACGTGACGGTATTATTACAGTGCAATGAATACGTTTCTTTTTTTAAGATTGACAAGCTGCAAAGATGTGGGGAAATGGGCTATGATCCTAGAATTTCAGTTTTAGCAGAAGACTTCCAATCTTCAACAACAGCGTGATCTATATTGTGAGATTGCGTGGGCAATTGAAAGATATTTTCACATACATTCTATTTTAAGATTGAAGGGACATTTTAATTTTGATTATCACGTGCTGACTACACGTGATTCAGAATTAATTTCACTCAAAACGTTTTCTCTGCAATATGGAATATACAAAAATGTGTACTTCAGCAATCCATGTAAGGAATCTTTAAAACACATTTTGGTGTCCGGAGACATTTTCTATCTTATTTGTGACGATATAATCTACATTTACTTATATCACAACATTATGATTCCAGATTAAACATCGATTGTATCATCGCCTTAAAGCTATTTTGGCACAGAAACCTTGAGTAGCGTCATTCTGTTAAATAAAAAGATGTTTTGATAATGTGGGATTTTAATTTAATTCGTCTAATGTAATCAATAAATTGAAATGGTTAAAATTACCCACAATGCACGTTCTAGTTCCTACCTGTATCATTACTTTTGCTCAAGATTTGCTTTTTATTTTATTCGTGAAACATCTACACAAAATCATGTAAGAATATAGCATTTGCTAGTAGCTTGAAATACCGTAGATATAAATTTGTTCTTCATTTGGCGCAGTAAAATTTTAGTGAAAAATCACTGAAGGATTATTTGTGCCTTGACAAATTCGCGCTTCAGTAACATACGCAACAAGGAGGATCTGAAATTAACGTAATCATTTTGAAGCATATTTCATTTACCGCGAAAAGCGCAAAAATAATAGTACCACTAATAAATGTATGTTAACAGTAAGTTAATCAACACAATTTCAATGAATTACCTGAAGTTTGGAGCAGAGTCTATTTAGTTGCTGACACTAATGAGCTTTGTGCTTCAAAGTTTGCTCTTCCGAAACATATATATATTCCGTCTTAGGAACTCTGCTTACATACAAATTCAATACAATTTTATTACTTCAGAGTTGGGACGAGAAAAATGAGTTTTGATCATATTTTTTTTCCATCTGTCCATCTTATTATTAATCAAAAGGAAATTCCGTTCTTTAATGATGCATCCGAATGACGTTGTATCAATTTTTACTGTCTTAATCTTTATAAAAAAATCCGTTGTCATGATGATATTGATGTCTAAAAATGTTTTTGTTAAAGCGTTACGTAATAAAACAGTATTGATTTATTAGTTGAAAGGGTTGACGTTCAGATTGGTTTCCGTGTCATTATTAATTAATATGTATAATAATACTATATTGCTGTTATCTTGACATTTTAAAAAAACATGAAAAAAGAAAAAGGAACAGAACAGAAAAGTAAAAAGAAAGAAAAAAGAACAAAAAGAAAAGGAACAAAAACACGCACAGCGCTTTTAAGACCAGATACATGACTCAATTACAAAAGAAAGTAACCGAGAACTTCCGAAGTACTTTTTGAAATAGATATGGTCTAGTTAAAAAGATTATTATTGATTTCAATCAGCATGTCCACCAATCAACATAGATAGACACCACCATATTGGGAAGTAAATTTTGTGATGGACTGGTGTTATATTAGTGACGCTAGTGTAATAATATAACATATTAAGTATAGTGCTCTTTTTAACAGTTGGTATTTAATTTAACTTTTCGGTCACATAATCACGAGTGTAAACTTACTTTATATTTTGATAGATAAGCCGGCCAAACTAACCGATAAATTGGGATCGTTTCTTTGTCAAATGGCGATAAACACTTAGAAAACATGATTCTATTGGCAGCGTGCCCAGCCATTATCTGATTTCAGACGAGATCCTAATTAAAGTTCAATAATAAATGCTTTTAGCCGGAACTACTGTATGTGTTTATAAATTAAACAGTGTCTCTCATGTAAACGATTTGATAGCGAAAGCCTTTCTGACACGCCATACTTCTATAGGACCAAGCTTATTTGACACAGATGAAAATATAGAGTTACCTAGGTAACAAATGGGTTAGGAAAAGATTCTAATCAATTTCCTGACACTAATTAGAAAAAAAATATGTGTGATACAAATTCATCATCAACAGAAAGAAACCGGTTCTGTTTCAAATATATGGAAAGATGATATTCTGATTTAGACAGAAAAGTGTGGGTACATGAATTGTACCGCCATTCCAGAGGGAGAAGCCCTCCAAGCGGTAACGTTTTCCGTAATTAAGGGATTCTGAATTGAGGATGAGACTTGTAAATAAAGGGTGGGTATTGACGGAAAAGTGATATTCCTTGCAGTTAAAGTGAAAAGTGAAATCATTACATGAGTTTTAACTTAATTAAAGGAGTTTTCAAAATGTTGAATTTGGTCGTAGTATGGATCAAAGTATTGTTCAAAACAGAGAAACTATACTGATTTTGTTTGTTTGTTAGTATTTTTTTCATTCTTAGGTTTATACTGTTTTGTTACAAAGAACAAACAAAGCTTCTGACCAACTTTTGCATCTGGTTACAAAAAGGATAAGAAATCTTTCACATCAATCGGAAAACCATTATACACAAATTTTCTTTTTTAAAAAAATACAGATAATGAAATGAACTATTTCATATTAAACAGATTTGATGAGGTATATATGTGACAGTAATTCAAAATTTACCGATGTAAAATACAATAATATGTTTCATGTATAAGGTTAAATGAGCAGAAGAAAATGAAAGTTACATTACTCAATATCATCAGAACCCTCAAAAATCATATCTACCATGCAACACATTACTCATTCAAAATGTCGTATTATACATCTAATGCACGTGTTTTAAGGTATTAAACTTACTTTCCTATAGACATAAATGATGAATCGTCGTCTACATTTATAAAATTTTACATTTGCCATTTTTTAATGTTTGTAGTTAATCAAACGGGTCAGCATGTAAACTAGCGCTAACCTCTTAACTTTCGAACTAGTTACAGTAAACATACTAACTTTTTAACCTGTGCGATGCATTTGATTCGTTAGGTCGTCTGAAGTACAATGCTTGCGTCACAGAAAATTTACGTAATCTTGCTGCCTGCACATCTACTGAAGAGTTCCACACAAGGGAGATAACTACCACAATTATCAGTGAAATATTTCTTTCGACTTGAAAGCTTACTTGTTGAGTTTCCGGATGATAGACTTGAGGGCCTGGAAGTCTGGTCTCTCCATAGGATCTTCTGACCAGCATTTCCGGATAACCTCGGCAAGTTCGTCACATGGACAATCTGCCTCTTCCAGTGTTGGCCGGAAGTATGGCTTCAGACCATTCATCACCTTCCGGTGGATTTCTGCAACGGAAATGACGTCATTGCATTACTTACAGTAAAGTAACAGTGAAGGAAACTGATTCCATCTTTTGGGAAAAGCTACATTGCATTCTTTTAATTGTCTTTGTTGTATTAAAAGCGAATTCGTGTACAAAAATGACAATATTTCACAATTCGCGATCGATTGTTTTGCAAACAATGATTCTCAGCGATTACTGGGATGAATATCGTGCGCTATCTGGAAAAGTGAGAGAAAGAATAAGGAAAAGCAGTAGAACAAATATTAGTTTTTCTTAATTGCAATGGTTTGTGTTGTATCGAAATAATGTGTCGCATTTATCGCCCTGCAAACGAAAACATCATAAGGCGGGGTAGCTTTGTGGTAGCTACAGTATTACACTGAACATCATGCTGTGCCGTCCGGATATGACAACACAACGTGTTCCATGTGTCAGATTCAAGAAAAATACAAACTGTGCCGGTTAGGTTTCGTACCAAACACCTCGGATCTTCGCACAAAGTCCGATACGTTTACCATCTGAAGTATTCACCGGAATTAAGAATTGATTTTACCATTCAATGAAGCGGAAGATGCTTATTTTTCCGGAACACCTGGTCTTATTTCCCATTATTTTTTTCAGGAGTCTCCTTGAAAATTTTTCTTTTGTTCTCGTTTTGTCCGGTTTTTTTTTTTTTTTTTTTATTGAATTGAAGTTTTGATAACGATTATATTGATATGTTGGTATTGTTATTAAATATCAATCTATTTGTTGATCTTGAATTTAAATACGTCTTGCTTATATGTATGTTGTACCGGAATTAACCAGTTAACCATTGTAACAATAGCAAGAACCACTTGAAATATGTTAAAATTAAACATTAAGATCATTTAAAATTACCTCACGTGTAAGTGTATTTAGCTACAGCGATGCAATCTTGTCCAAAATATGCAAAAATCTTTAAATTAACTGATAACATTATTTCGTCCAATTTCGACCTTCTCAGACATATCTTAATAGTTTACGCCCTCTAGCGGAGCTGACGTGTCCTAGAAGGGCAGAGCAGGTAGCTGTATGATACGGTTTGATTAAGCTGACTGGCTAAGCTGTATCTACAGTGATAAAATCTAGATTGATATCTTAACTTGCTATTTTATTGCTGTCTCTTGTATAATACTCTAGCAAAAGCTCCCTTTTAACCAAAAATATTTACTGGTCTATATGTACTCTTCCTGGTACGTTATATCGTGACTATAAGCTGCATATATTTCATCGGATGTTTTCAACGTCGTGCTGAGTAACTCTTTGTCAAGGCCCCCTGGATATTAACAAGTTAAGGTCAAATATAATTGCCATGGAGTTATTGGCAACACTTTGAAAATGATGGTTTCGAAGACCCGAGAAAACACTACAGCATAACTAAGACCCGAATAATCAAACATCGACACAACCAAGATCTGAGTAAACATATTTAAACATAACCGAAACAACTGAAAATCAACACTGATATAACCAGGACTCGATTAATCAAACATAGACATAAACGAGATCAACGTAAACAAACATATACACAACCAAGACTTGAGTAAACCGATATCGACATAACAAAGACCACAGTAAACAAACACAGACACAACCCAGACTCTAGTAATCAAATATCGACATAACCGAGACACCATAAACCAACACTGACATAACAACGACTCGAGTAAACACAAATTGACATTTTAATAATTAAGTAAAACAGAGATTTGCTTGTTGAAGGTGATCGTGTTGTCATTGAAACGTTACACTCTAATTTCTACTGGTTGTGTTATAAGATGAAGGTGACCGTCTAGCCATCGAAACGTCACACTCTAATCTTCTACTTGTTGTGTTATAAGATGAAGATGATCCTGTAGTCATCGAAACGTCACACTCTAATCTTCTACTGGTTGTGTTATAAGATGAAGGTGACCGTGTAGTCATCAAAACGTCACACTCTAATCTTCTACTGGTTGTGTTGTAAGATGGTGGTGACTATGTATTCATCAAAACGTCACACTCTAATCTTCTACTGGTTGTGTTATAAGACTGGTTGTGTTGTAAGATGGTGGTGACTATGTATTCATCAAAACGTCACACTCTAATCTTCTACTGGTTGTGTTATAAGATGAAGGTGATCCTGTAGTCATCGAAACATCACACTCTAATCTTCTACTGGTTGTGTTATAAGATGAAGATGACCGTGTTGTCATCGTGACATCACACTCTAACCTTCTACTGGTTGTGTTATAAGATGAAGATGATCCTGTAGTCATCGAAACGTCACACTCTAATCTTCTACTGGTTGTGTTATAAGATGAAGATGACCGTGTTGTCATCGTGACATCACACTCTAACCTTCTACTGGTTGTGTTATAAGATGAAGATGATCCTGTAGTCATCGAAACGTCACACTCTAATCTTCTACTGGTTGTGTTATTAGAATTTCTATTCTATTTATTTCGTGTATAAACGGAAGTGGGTTGTAATTGCGTGAATGCACACGTGATATCAATAAATATCAATTAAGGTCAGCGTTATGTGTTTTTAATAGTTAGAGTTATCGACCTTGATCGATTTTCGCAACAACACGGTATATCGTAATTGCCCAGCGTTGCCCGGCGACTATTGTAGTGTACCTTGAAATCGATTACAATTATTTAGATGTAACTGATACAGACAAGATTATCGACGAGTGTGTTTGGTACAGAATTCACTTATTACTGTAATCTTCGTGGCAGGTTTATTTTCGTCCATTTTCTACGTACTACACTTAATCCACGTTTTCCTATATTCTGGAGCCGCGAAAATAAGTATTAATTGATATATAGAACTATATTTATCTACGAAATCAAATGTCCACCAATAAGTACGGTTTTTCTTTTTTGTAATTTTGAGAAACCACGAAAATTGAGAACCACGAAAATATATATATTATTTCAGAGTAACAAACAAACAGAATGATAATGCACAGTATCAAAGTACATTTACGACATTCTTAGCTTTTTTGCTGCAGTTGTAAAATTTATTCATGTTACAGCCATTGTGAAACACGTTATATAAAGAACTCTTCTTGGCCCGAATGGAAGCCGATGAGGGATTTTCCAGAGAACCAAGGAAACTCCTGTTTACTTTGGTGGGCGCCCCTGTGAATTTTCTACGTTAGGTCGGGAAATCGAGTCCTAATTGCTGTTGTGACAGACGATTCCGTGCTTGTTAAAATATTGCTGTATTGAATCCATTAAAGAAAATTTGCCATTGCCGAGTCGGAATAAAGCAGCCGGTAGGATGTCGTGATACCAACTCCTTCCGAAGAAAATACATTTAACTTGCCCTGCTATCATGCAGGATAAACAGCAATTGTTGTTGGGCAACAAGTACAATTTTTTATACCAAGCAATGGAGCAAACGCAGCCAAGGTCATTGTTTTTTTTAGTATCTTTGATTTGACCGGCTTGGATGCTACAACATAAATCTAAGCACCAGATGTACTGGGTTCGACCCCTAGATTACACAATTTATTTAGAAATATCAACCTTAGCTCTGTTGTTGGGAGTTAGGAAAGATTTTTTCGTCATATTTTTTTTAAATATTCAATAAGACGATGTACATGATAATGAATTTGATAGGTCAAGGAAACGAATTATTCTACAGGAAATAAACTATCTTGAAGGATATTACAGTTAAATCTTTCTACAGATGGTATATTTTGACACCAACAGAAACTTGTGACTTTTACCCAGAATCACTTCAAATACGTATTTCAAATTTCATGGTACATCGAAAAAAAAATCTACAAAAGAAAATAGATACATTTTAAACTTTCAGACAGAGGTCACTTTGATTCTAAGCTCAAGTGTTATGTTGAATTTTAAGACAAAGGTCGCTTAAAAGAAAATTAACATGACGTCACATATCGTTTAAACTTTCAGACAACCGTTATATTGATTATTAAGCCCTATGTCCGTCCCAAACCTAACTCCAACATTTCTTTCGACAAAGTTTTATTGTCGTCAGTAGATATCACGACTCAGACCCGCTGCATCACAGACGACATGGTTGAGCGGAAAACGTTTAATTCATTGCGTAACATAACTGTATGTAATCATTCATTTTCATTAAAAGGTGCATTTCACATGTGTGTTTTGTACAATTTACAGATAAATCAGATTGGGAAAAAAGCACCTTCAACAAAAAAGAAAAAGGAAAAAAATTAATTACTTCATTTAGCAATCACTGCATCCATAGAAATGGTTCGATGCAAAGACATTGTATCTAGGACGTCAACAGATGTTTTGTACCTGCAGAATAATTTGCACAAACACACAATTTCCAACTTAAGACACATCAGCAAATACAACATATAATAAGACACATATAGTAAGACATACATAATAAGACACATTCAATACCTGGATCTTGTTTTATGTCGGAACTGTCTACATCCATCTGGTTGTTATTAGTTAGAGGCACAGCCATGTTTACTAGTTCCGATGACAGGAAGTTAACCCTTACACACCGTACACAAGACCTTGCACACTTAGACTCCAGGAATCACCAAAGAAACTGTCCAATTTGAAAGTAAGTGTAACCGGAAATGGTTCTTATCACATGATAATGTCTTAATAGCTTCTTAGTCACGTGATTAGTTCCAGACTCGCAGAGTTTCCTCGATGTTACGTGTTTATCCGAAACGTACAGATCGATTGAACAAACTGAAACATTAGCGTCTGGAAAAAAGTTAACAACGAACAAAATTTTTGTCTTTTGAATATCACGCAAGGTATATAGAAACGCAAATGCTTCTCCACAGAAAAAAGAATCCTGGTTAACTTTTCAGAGTATCGTTCCAAACGAGATGAATCAAACGATCCGTCTTTTTTTAAGAATGATATATCTACTACTGTGTCCAGCGTCTAGTTTATTCCTTATATCCTGTCAGTACCACGCGAATAACTTTTTTATTCACAAAAAATAATTTCGTTCATATTTTTATCA